CCAGTGGGAGTCCGACGTGCTACCAACTCGGTTATGACATTCCTACCGTCGCATCACAATGGCTGTATCCAGCTATATTAGTTGGAGAATGCAGTATAAATTTGTATCGATAGAACAAAACCTACTGCTATCATGGTGCCTTTGGCTGTACCAGTCATTCACAAACCTCCACAAGATGAACTGACGGTATGCCTGGTACCGCAATGGTCGGTTGAAGGCACCAGGGTCGTTCGCCCGCTGGAGAGCGCTGGCCGGCTGGGCGCGCAGGCTGGCGTACAACAGCATGCCAACCGTGACTGCTGCTTCGTTCAGACAGACCAGCTGCATTTGCTGCCACACAGAAGGCAAACAGTGCAAGCATATGCTTGATAGATGTTTGTATGGCCCAAACCACCTAGTACAGAATGGAACAATTGTGGCAGTTGATCACGCCCGGAACGGCGTGTCAACATGTGAGCCAAGTGGGGCGATGATTCATGTCTGAGTGAGGTGAACGGTCACGGCTCGGGACGGTGCGTTAACCCGTAGACACGCCGACAGCGGTGAGAGCTATTTGTAAGGCACTTCGGCAGCTTCGGCGGCAGCAAGAAAGCTAATTATTTTAATCATGGAATACAACAACAGCAGTTGGATCAGTTATGTAGCCTGCCTTCCGTCAAATTAAAATTGTCTCAAAATAAGAACGCAGCATATGCAACACTGCACACCTCAAATGCGATGTCTAGATGTTCAGTAAGTGGGCAGTCATTTCCAGAATAACCCATAATGAAACATTTACCATGCTTGACCAAGTGCCAATCATACCTGGTCTGTAAGAATACAGGGTTCCATGCCGCAACACACGCTCTCAGCCGTGGTGGGCATCAGCTCGCATCTGAGGATCACGAATTGTCAACTGCCTTCCACACAAGAATGGGCAGTAGCGGTGCAAGGGGTCAGGGTATCTGTCTGCCAGTCTTCGCAGCAGTAACAGGTCCAGCAACAGGCCTTCTACAGGTCAGAATGGGCCATCTATGGGCCAGAATGGGCCATTTTAAGGCCAGAGTGGCCCCAATATAGGCTAGAATGTAGTCTTAAGGCAGAATGGAGGCTTCACAGACCAGCATAAACCATACAGGCCAGAACAGGCCCTCCACAGCCAGCGGGCCATGAACAGATCAGACAATGTCGTTATAGGCAGAAATGAGGCCTCCACAGTTAATAATAGGCCTTCTGCAGATCAGAATGGCCCTTAACGGACTCAGCAGTGACCTCTTTTGGTAAGAACATGCCATATACAGGCCAGAAGAACTCAACAGGAACACATACAGACTTACATAATGCATTTACAGTTCAGAATATGCCTTAACATGCCATGTGGGTAATCATCATAATACACACCTCGTGCAAGTGCACCGCTCAGGTGCTTGCGTCTGTTCCAGGCACGCTCCGGGGTGGGCAGTGAGGAGGCTCGCACCTCCCATGCCAGCGGAGGGTAGCGGATGAGAAGGTCACAGAGGACCTCCTCGGCCTGATGTTCGTTGGCCAACTCCACCACCAGTTCCTGATGGAAATGTAGCATGAGTACACACTATGGCATGCAGATACTCAGCAGGATGTTTAACATCACTTTAACAATGAAACATACTGCCTGAAATGATGAAGAAGACACCGTTTTTCGAGGCAAAGAGGACACCAGTTCTAGCGTCAATTACTGACCACAACATCTAACATTTTGCTTCTAAGTACATTGTGTGTGTAGCCAAATATGGGATGGGTAGCATACAGTGACAGGCATGTTTTTTTTGTTTGGTCACTTGCCCAGTTAGCCGGACCATGAAGACCAAGCACACATGTACGCACTGAAGGCAGGTGGTCTTGATATCATGGCTTTGTGAAGCCATTATCATTATTTTTCTGGATACGTACCAAAATTCAGAAGATGCATAAAATGCTGTTACCCTAGCATGGGAGGCTTGAGCCGAGGCTGCCACCTCAACTGCTCTGGCCCTGTGGAGCATGACATGGTCATAATGGCAATGCAAATGCAAGGAGACCACTAAGCAGCATATGTTTACATTGTCCTATATGTTTCATTGAGATGGGAAAGTTGGACCAACTGAAATTAAGTCATGATTTTGTAGACTGGCATACACCGACCCACACAACACAACTGCACACTCTCTCCTTCAACTTGCACAAGTTTTAATCATGGCTAGACTAAATTCTGTGAGAAAGCATCATGACCGATTACAGTTATGTTCACGTGACATGTGTCATGCAATCATCTGCTAAAGTGAAGCCACCACTCAAACGGCATAACCAGTGCACACAACTGCTTTACGCAGTCATTATTTGTGTGAATGCATCAGCATCCCCAAAACTCAAGAAACTGATAAATGCAGTGACAGCATGTGCATACGAAACAAATAGGATCTACAGATACAGATAAACTGCATGTGCAGCAATGGTACAGAAATGTAAGACCAGAAAATCAGATCTGTGTGAAAAGCTAAGTAGAAGTGAACATGTTACCAACCAGCCCCAGAGGTTGCTCACCCAGATGCCTCCTGAAACAGACGCCTCACAGCTGCTGGTCGGGTGGGGCGTGGCAGGCGGTCTCGGCCACGGCCTCGTGGCTGCCGACGCCCAGTCACGCTGATGACACAAGAATCAAAGTACTTTATAAGGTAATTGCCAAACAAAACAGAAAAAACAAATTCCAAAAAAAAACACAGCAGCATCACTAACGGTGATTTACACTCGTACTGTGATTAAACAATGACAACTTGTGCTGTGATCTAATCAAAAAATGGTATCATTGATATTTTGCGTTGTGCACACTTGACACTGTCTATTATTTGTAACTAGAAATGGAGTCATATCCAAAAATTAGCAATACATTTGAAATTACCATGCATTAATTGTCAAGGTATTATTATTGTTGTGGTAAAAATGGATAGCATAAATCACTAAGCTTTTGTATAAAACTCCTGCAAGGACTATGCACAGCACGCAAATATAGGTTAAAAATCCAGCGTTAAGATACTCAACATTCCTCAACAAGTTTCAGTATGGCATTCATAACAATATATGACGATTTTCACAGCATTCCGTACGTTGATATGTATAAACTGCCAAAAAACTGGCGGTTGTTACGTTGCGCATGTCAAGCAGTTCACCAAACTTTTCCTTCGCTCAGGAACAAGACACAAGGAATCTGAACACCGCCCACCTACCCTCCACCACACGCAGCTGTCACTACGAAAATTTCGGCTGGCATCAGCTTTCATGCATTTAGAGGTGTTCCTGAGGTGTTGTTGCCAAATGGAAACAGATGTTGCTGTCGTCACACAACGAGTCCATGACGCCACCAAACAATGACGTAATGGGACGCATTTTTTAAACTTCAAAATTTTGCTACTTAGGGTCGTTTTTGAGCCTTAAAAGCTTCCCCAAAGTTACAAGTAAGCCTTTAGCATCATTGCCGATGCTTATCTCAGAATCTTCAAATGTGGAACATTCCCTTTAAAGAACGAGTATTCTAGCGTCCCTTCAGTCTGTCCTGGTGTGGGCCGGCGGCGCGCGGTCCGTGGGCGCCATCTCAGCTCTGACATGGTGGTCGGCGGCGCGCTGTATGTGAAGGTCGCCGTGCGCGCACAGCCGCGGATTTTGTTTCTCAACATTCACAGCTGACGCGAATACACTTTCAGTCGCATCGCAAGTTTGTGCAACGCACCGTTGCGCTGCAAATCGCAGGACAACTTGCAAGATGCCAAGTTTTAATAATCCAAATGGTACGGTCACACGGCACGTGATCACAGGTGGATTTTGCTGTCTTCCACGGATTTGCACCTTTTGTGGCACATTTCGGCACCTATGACACTAACACACCCGGGATTCGCGCGCTTCAGTGATGAATGGAAGGAGCGAAATGATGATGTTTGGTGACACGTGCCACATGTCATGGCGCCCATGTGTTTAACTATGGATTTACACGATTTTGCTCTTTTGAGGGGCTTGCACGTTTTCGTGATATCTCAGAAACCAGAGAATAAAGTACGCAGACACTGGCATGCTTCGATAGGTGATCTAAAGGGCAATGACTGAAATGTGTACGATGTCATGCTGCACATGTCACGTGACACGTGCACACGAGCTGTGAACCTGTATTTTGCCGATTTCGTTCATTTTCCGCTTTACGCGGGATTTCCGCTCTTATGGCACGTAGTAACACGAGACTGGCATTCTGCGATAGGCCAATGAACGAGATATTGTTGTCACGTCGTACGTGCTGCATGGATTGATGGGGAATCGAAAGGACAATCACGTGGTATGAATGGTTGCACCACGTATGCGTGAGCCAGGAAAATTTATTTAGCCGCTACCGACCATTTTTCACTGTTCGATACGATACAATGCCGTTGGATGCAACGGTAGTGCGTGCTGCCATTATTTAAAGACAGACAGTTGATGGAAGTGGCAAAAATCATCGGTCACGTCCCACGATCAATCACCGGTCCTATGGAATAGGTTTGCCTATGCCTCAGAGAGGGCATACCAAATGCAGCGGCGGCCAGCTGCCAGCGGCCACCAGAGGCCGCCAGCACCGCGCGCGGCCTGCGTCCGAGTCTTTTTCACACTTTGCGCGATATCTCGGCAACCAGGGCACCTAGAACCGCGATTCCAACAGCAAAAGATGCATAATGAACATTTCTAAACTTTTTACTTAGCTCAGCGAAGCAGGCGCGCAAGTGCTTGTTATTCGTAACGGAACAGCACGGAACTCTTCGGCACATTTCCTGAGAATCCGGACACTGAGCACGTTGGGACCATAGGCGTTGTGAGCACTGCGATCGCGTACCATGTGTGTTATACGGCCATGTGATACGGTAAAGAGGTCTAATCCAGGCGCATCGAGCAAGGGTGGGTCAGGCAATACACGAACGTCAGGGTCGCAGAACTTACGAGTAAAACACACATTCAGACAGTTGGTACGCTCTTCATCACGCTTGTACACATTGCCACCGTACTCAAGAACGGGTGATTATGTGCATTTGAGGGCGCGTCCCACATTTGTATGGTAATGTCTATATAATGTCTATGTATATAACTGAATGTCTACGTAACTATGTCTATGTAGCCACATGTCTATGTAGCCACATGTCTATGTAACTGAAATAGCCATCTTAAAAGTCATTTTGTGCACTTAACGGCCCTGTCCTCATTACGACCTAAGTCCCCCAGTTTCTTACATACATGGCCGCGAAGTTGTGCAGACTTTTTTGTGTAGACTTTTTCAAGGTCATCAAGGCATGCATGGCACCATAAAACATGTCATTGAAATCTTACCACCCCATTGGCCATCCACCGTTGAAGGTCAAGAAGAAGGGATTTCCAGGTATAATGGACGCCAGTTAGGCTAGCTGGCGCCCATTATGGTTGACAGCTAGCTGAGCTAGCTTTCAATCAGTAGCAAGTTAGATAATTTTCAAAGACGAATACGTGATGTGCTACACAAAAGAAGGAGTATATTTCTCCTAGTTTTTACGGAGATATCCCTTTTAGAAATAACAATTGTAGTCGAATAACTTAAGAAAAATGTTGTGACCGAACATGTGAATGCAAGTGAACATCTTAAACGCTTGAATAAATAGGTAAGAACGGCACGAGAAAGGGCCAAACACGACCACCTAACGGCATTTGGTTCAGCACACCTTCAACAGTGCCGCGGGCCACCTCCCCGGAAACTGAAGCACTTCGAGTGAGTGCTGTCATGCTCACGTTCTATGATAAAATCAAACAATGAGGTAGTGAGAAGCATATTTTCCGAACAGAAAAAATGTATTTCTAGAACAGAGTATACCAAGTGTTATAAGGAGCTTAATTCATCATATCTAAAGTGTGGATCACTTCCTTCAAGAGTGGACAAAGTTCTCCATCCCTACTCTCTATCTCAACACCCACCCGCACTCGGTCGCCGGGCTTGCCTCCGGAGAAAAGCTCCTTAATCCGCGCCTGGCCAGGAGTCTGAGACAACTGCGCCGGGCCGGGAGTCCGAAACAACCGCGCTCGGCCGGGGAAGTCGACTTCGCCTCCCCCCCCCCCCCCCCGCTGGGATCTCATTCTTTTAGATGCCGTATGAGAGAAACAAAGATGCCGTTTTCAAAGTCCATCAAATCACGAACAACGCACACAAAATTGATGACCTAAGGTTAAATGAGAAGTCACCAGAGGTCACGAAAGGTAAAAAAGGTCGTTCCGACAGGTACAGTTAAAGGCTATGTTAACGCATCTAGGCGGACATTGAGGCCACGAAAATAGGCGTTAAGACTGCGGGGAGCTCATTCCGACCATTTCTGCTCCGCCACAGGGGTCAGGTCAGATCAGGTTATCGTTCAAAATTGCTGTACCAGTAGCCTACAAGGACGATACTTTTCTTTGCAATGCAGTTATGAGTAAGTTCAAACTGCCGTTTTAAAGAGGCCTAGAGGCCATCTAAGTTAGCTTAGGTCA